AATCCACCCTCCTAAGCAACTTCTATGGATTATTTGGTGAATCTATCGATTAGTTTGCAAGATTGAGCAAGAAAGCAAGCTTGAATGAAGTGGTTTCTTTCTCTCTTTTTCCTCTCTAAGCCTCGGCCAAAATGAAGATTAGAAGACAGAAATTGAGCTCCAGAAAAGGGATAAGAAGCTTAGACTTGAGTTGGTAAAAAATGGTTGGATGCTTGCCAAGTGTCATCACAAGATTACATCTCAAATTTTTTCTTTTCCCTTGCTTTCTTTAGTCAATAATTTCGGCCAGCTTGATCTGATTTAGAGCTGATATTTTATGCACTAATTACAAGGAGATTAAGTTAATAAAGTGGTGGTCAAGTGGTGTATTCACTTGGTGACAAACGGTACCCGTCAGTTCGCACCGTTTTTCTTCAACTTGCACGTACTAGGGTTTTAACATATAATTCACTAACTTATTATTATCACTTCTAATCACACACTTAATATCATCTAAAACTTACTCTTAATCACCAAATTTAGTACACACTCCGTACCGATTACCCACACTACGAAAAGACATGAAAACCTTAGTTTACCCTAACGATGAATGAAAAGGTAAAACTCTTAATTCTATTCTTTATTCCAACCCTTGGGGATGTAAATGAGTAGTATAGCTATTATAAGATAATGGATTTCAAATAAAAGGAAATTTTAAGAAAAATATGATGGATTTTACAATTCCTCACAATCATACTACCAAAATGCACGTAAAAACACACAACAAAACCCTAGTATGCACAAAACCCTAACTTATGCCCTTCCTTTAGAAAAATTATAACTTGAGTTATAACTATCAAAAATTTATATAACTTGGCTTGTTAAAACTAGACTTCAAATACTAAGAATCTTTAGAAGACACCTCAAAGAGATTTAGTTCATAAGTTGGTCCAAATTGAGTCATAAGTTACTACAACATTCCTATGTTTACTTGTGCAGGGCAGAATTTTCAGTCAACTTTGCCAATTTTCTAGAATTTATAAACATTGAATCAAACTCTAAATTTTACACCGTAGGAAGCCCTCTGAGTCTAGTTTCAAACGCAATAAACGGAATTTAATTCCGACTTTCCTATACGAAGTTATAGCCAATTTCCCAAAACTGCGCAGAGCCTCCTGCGAAAATTCTAGATTTTCTAACAACTTGAGATTATTGAACTTTTCTTAACAAAATTCACTCTCTTGACTCAAATTCAACCATTAAAACAACCAAGAATCAAACGTAAGTGAGTTCACATAAAGGTTAAAAAGAAAAGTAAAATTTCGGGGTCTCACAGTCATTAGGTCCTACTTCATCATCACCAGAGCCGGCTCACCCTGGTGAACTCCAAGCGATCCAAGGTCACGAAGAGTAAAGGCTAATGCACCCCTTGCAACGATGTCTGCGAAGGTCTTCCCCGGCAGCCTGTTGTGGCTATCCGCGAGGGTAATGGCAGCCAAGATGCTGCCATGAAGGCTGGAGCGAAACCCTAGAGAAAGTAGGGTATTAGAGAAATGAAGTTGATCGGGATTGTAACACTTAAATATTAAGTTAACATCATATCAGTATATACATGCATTGAAAATAGTAATAGAATTAAATTGTACTTGTAGATCAAGTAGATATAGATTGGTTTATATTCCTTAGACTTTTAACCTTGTTTTGTTAATAAAATAATTCGTGTTTTTATAAAATAAATAACATTTTAGTTGATTAAATGAGTTTTTTTGAATTGTAATTACACTTAATAAATTAATAAATTATTAATTTATCAATTAATTAATAGCTCTTTAAATTAATAGAATTTATATGATCCGAAAGTTATTAATTTATAGAGATTTTACCATAGTGTTAAGGGTACATTCAATGTTTGTGTCGTTTAGAAATAATTAAAATCAATTAATTTTATAAAACAAATTTGTTTTTTCACATAAATCAGATCGATATAAACATTTTTTTTAAAGAACTTTGGTCTTTGGCTTATAATGTCATAGTAATTTGGTAGTTACATTAGGGTGGTTATGAATAGTTTTAAAGGCAAAATGTGATTAGGTGACAAGGAAAAAAATTAATTTTTTTGTGAGGGTAAAGTTGAAAGTTTAAAAAATGATTAAAATTATTTATATCAACGGTAACTCCTTTGACTTTATATATTGTACAGATATAGAAACATTAATTTGGTAGTTAAATTAGGGTGGTTATGAGTAGTTATAAAAGCAAAATGTGATTAGGCGATAAAGGTCAAAGTTAATTTTTTATAAGGATGAAGTTGAACGTTCAAAAAATGACCAAAATTTTTTACACTAACTGCCAACCCTCTCATGTTATATATTGTACGGATATAAATGTAGATATCTCATGCAGCCACGATAACCTGGTTGGGGTCTATATGCTTTATGGGAGCTAATACAAACATGCTTAATGCTTTACGATATATATATATATATATATATATATTTTGGTGGAGAGAATTGATGTTTTAAGCTTAACAAATTGGCCGAAATGGTGATGGGCTAGCATCCGGGATTCCAAGGCCCAAGTTTTTCTATGGAAACGGAAAAACTCACATGGGGTGGACTTCACTTTGTTGGTGGGAAATATCAAATTGGAAAGTCTTGTAACTTTAGACTCCCCCCTTTCTTCATTTCAATTTTATCATTTCTCATTTATTTTATTTTATTTTATTTATTATTATTATTTCAAGAATTGCAACATTTACACTGTCCTACCCTAAAGGGAGACTAAAGAAAAGGTCTATCTAAACTAAAGCAGTACATTGGTAAGTTCTATATATATATAGATATATATATATATATATATATATATATATTAATTACATGGTACAGATTTTGAATCTGACTCATTATTTCCTGCTTCCAATCCTCTGTCCAATGTGTATGTGCAAACTTCCTGTCTAATTTTATACGTTGTCAGTTAGTTTTGAAAATTGACAACGCGTATATTCTTTGCTGGGCCTTTTTTCAGAAACTGAGGACTGTCTCACTTGGGTCTAATGCTTCAGCAAGATAGTAACACCCCATTTGCAGTTGTGGTGCATTTACAAAAAAGCGTTTTTAAACCCTAAAAGTATTTCTAGAGTGTTTGATAATTAATTTTCTGAATCTAATTTTTGATAACATGAAAATATTTTATTAAAAACACTAATGTCAGAAGTGATTCTTTATAAGTTATGGGGCTTAAAAGTCTTTGCAAGTTTGCATTTATTCAATCAAATTGCAAGAACTAATGACAATATTATGAAACTAAAGCTAGTCACTTTTTTATTTACAACAAATTGAGCAAAAGCAAGAAAAATTTTTGGTTGAGATAGATCAGTTTTTAGCAAGAAGCCCGTCTCTAATATTTCATCATCAAGAAGGGTTTGGTTGATCAAAATTTTTTCAAAGCTAAATTTTAATTTCTCTTATTTTACGTCATAAAACAAAACAACCATATATAGGTAACCATTGCCCAACTTGCATATAACTTATAAAAACTAACACACCATGAAGTTCTAAATGTAGGACAAGGAACACTTTGCCGAAATGGCTGTGTATTCAACATAATTTTTCTCTTCCATGATCAATTCCTCAACTGAGGCTGAGCTATACACAAAAATGAAAGAAGAAGATCCCATATACGCATCTAGGAATTGGGCCCAAACCAATCACAGCCGTTCCTGCCTGAAATACTAGGAGAAATCGATCTATATGCTATGCTATATTTCTTAAATTTCTAATGCACTTAAACACATCGGATGACATGTCTTGAGAGGTGGGAGATCAAGAGTTCAAATCTTATCTCTTATAAAAAATTGTCATTTAATATGACTTCTCTTAGATTCATATGAATGTATAATGCACTCGTATAATTCGATGATGGTTCAATTCTCGTCGATTTCCTGTTTTTCTGTTGGGTCACCCCTAGAATAGATTAGTTTAAGAGTAGGAGTAGGTGTAGGTGTAGATGATGACAATTGATAAAAAAAAAATTAAAACGTTGGTTGCCAAGTATGATGCTGAGGAGGAGACGAGCACAAGATCTTGGTAATTCACAAGAAAATAACAAATTAAAACGAAAAAAACATATCAACTACAATAAATGCACGATAGAACCCAAAACGGCACATGTTGCCTGATGATTACAATGGGCTAGACGGCCTACTAAAGGTCCCTAGTTTTGGTGTATTCCAAGCCTTCACTAAGACCACTTTCCAACTAAGTGAAAAATGGTTGCTTCAAAAAAAAAAAAATCTAAGTTAAAAAAGGCAAATTATATTGCAACAACTAAAATTGTAATGTCACAACAAAAAGGGGGACTAGAAACTTGAAAATAAAATTTGAAGCATCTTTGTGAAACTTTAGAATTAGTTTAAGGACTAAATATGTAAATTGGCCAAAATTGAAATAAGTTCACAACTAAAAATCCATTTGGAAGTTACATTCTTCTTCAAATAGGGGGAAAATAAAGGAAAAAATAATTATTACGACATTTTTACGATAATGCTTTATATTGAGTTGGTACAAAAATGAACTGTGGTGGATTGGGCAGCATAGTGCGAACATTCAATTATAGATTTATAGAAAAAGAAATTGATTTCATGACTATAATAACTGGATTTGTCGTATCGTTGACGTAATATAATTTTGTACATAACAGTTGGGCATACTTGAAAGTAATTTACTTGAAAATATTAATGTGCTCCTCCGAAATTTGTCATAAAAGAACAGATGGATAAGCATAGAGAAGTAATATAATGAGTATTTTTCTTAAAAACAACTAGATATTTATAATTAAACTCGACAGGTTCTATGTCATGATAGAAGTGTAAACATTGCGTTTATGCATTTATTTCTCACCAAAATGTTAGGTTGTTATTTTAAATTCTTAATTGAAATTGTATGTAAGAGATCAATACATTTCTAACCGGCAACCTATTGCCCATTTGCTGAATTAAATAAATAAATAAATGAACAAATAAAAACAGAGTAAAATATTGTCTATAAACAAGATCATTTAATACGAGATATATACAAAAAGATACAAAATTGAACTTCCAGCAACCGTTAAAAAAATAAAATGATATGAAAAAAAGAAGAGAAATTGCGTGGTTACGAGTAAGGAAATATCCACATCTTCCCCCACAGCCGGTGTAGACTCCATCCATTATTTGTCAACAAACCAATAACAACTTCAGGAATGTATGCAATTCTTTTATAATCTTCACTTTCTTCGTTCTAATTCTCTAGATTCTGCGTCATTTGAGAACTCAACTCATACAAACCCAGCTTTGGAATATCATCAAGCGTTGAATTCCTGTAGGTAACTCCTCCGGTAATGGGAGTTCTCCCAGATTTATTTCTTGGATACAGGGCAATGCACCCTCCTCCACTTTCATCCGTCTTAACCATTCTAATTTCCTTGCGTACATTTTCTTTAGCTTTGAGAATCCTCCATTCTTGAATCGCCAATCCCTGTCCTTGGTAAGATCCAAAACATTGAATAATACTCAAATTTGGCATAGAGTGAAAGAATTCAAGCGGATCCTCCTTATTACTTGAACTGCTCCAACCCAAATCTATGCTAAACAGGCTTTGAAGAAGAGTTATCCACTGTGGCATCTTTTCTAAGCGGCCAGCCAATAGTAGCATGCGAAGAGATTGGAGAAACGAAGAAGACATTGAAGAAGAAAGAGAATGCTGTTAATCATCATTATCTTTTCTAATTGAAGAAATGGTTAACTCCCAAAGGCTAGTGAGAGCGGCAACGGAGAAGCAGAGCTCCTTTCCATCTTCTCTTCTCAGATTTGAAAGAGTCAGTTGTCCCATCTCTTTAACTATGGATCCACTACTTGCATCTATGGTGGTTAATGTTTTTAGGGCAAAAAGCCCTCCCAATTTTGTAGGAGCCGTAAATTCATGATGTCCATAACTATGATCTCAAGGATAAACTATTCTATAAAGTATAAGATGCTCAAGCTTTTGTAACTTCAGAATTCCCATCGGTAATTCCCAGACTTGAGTTTCAGCCAAATTTAAATACTTCAAATTTTGAAGCTTTCCTATGGATTTCGGGACTTCTTTAACTCCCGTACCACATAGGTTCAAATACCTGAGATGATACAATTTGAAAATCTCATTTGGGATTTCCTCCAACGTCTTTTCACCTCTCAAATCCAAAACATTTAACAATCTGCTACTCTTTAAAACTTCAGATAACAAGATTCTGGATACTAGTGGACTTATGGATTCAACTGTAATAAAGGATCAAAGGTGGTCAATGCAATAATATTAGCCTCTTTGATGGTGCTGGGTGTTGTTACTACTACTCCTATGGATTACCAAATGGCGTACCTTCTCAGATAGCGCCACCTTGCGCGTTGTCCAGTAGTTAATTGTCAAGTTACCAAATGTTACCAAATGGATTACCAAATGTTTTGTTCCCTTGTCTTCGAAAGAATAATTTCTTGCACTAGATCATGGATTCAATAAATGCTGGGGATTTCTTCATAGAAACTAGTTGTTACTTGACAAGTTCGTTAAGATAACTGTAGCCTATATCTTCCATAGTCATTCCTTCTCTCTTTTCTACAAACCTTTCAACAATCCATAATTCAACAAGTCTATAGCAACCTATTCAGAATCCTCTGGGTACATACATAAGTAAACAAACAGATCTTAAGATGTCAAGGAAGATCATTGTGGCTGAGAGAAAGTATCTTTCCACGTACGAAAGCCTTCTAATTCACCCTCAAGACTGCATTGAACCATCTCCCATTCCTCTACTATATTCAAGTGTTTCAAAGCCAAAGTCCATTGACTGCAAGAATCGCCAGGGGCAAACCCTCACATTTACCCAATATACCTCTTGTAACATCCATTGGATGGACGGGCAACCATGTTTTTTAAATATCTTTTTACAAAATAGGATCCATGAATCTTCAAAGATAGTCAAACCATTTTGAGAACATAATTATGAGATTTGATGCAAGACGCAGAGGCTACATCAGCTTTTCGTGTTGCTAGCATAACACGATTGCCATAGCCATTCTCAGATAGTGTAAAGCTGATCGCATTCTAGAATTTCACATCTCATACACCATCAAACACAATGACATACCTTCCAGCTTGTTGAAGAAAATCTTTGACAAATTCTTTCAGATCAATACTAGTCATGGATTCAATCAATTGTGGGACTGATTTCTTCAATTCCTTGTGTAGCTGTCGAATCAAGTCTTTCAGGAGCTCCTGAAAGTTACATGTTTGAAAGACAAAGGCATGAACATGAAAGTGCCTTCTAACATCTAAATCTTGGGGCACTTTTTAATTAAGGCAGTTTTACCTAGTCCGCCCATTCCAACCACAGAAACAACTTTGAGTTGGGAATCATCCCCCTCGAGCAGTTGAGAAATTAGCTGTTCTTTGGGCTTGTCAATGCCAATCAAATCACTTTCTTCTACAAGAAGTGCATCATCCCTGCTATAGCGCCACGTTGTATTGTTAGAAGCAGGAAGAGACCCGGACGCTTGGGCAATAAGACCAAATTCTGATTGGTATGTCTGATGCCCTTCAGAAATATTCTTTACTCTAGTCTTGATGCTCTGTAATTGCTCAGCAACCTTATGACGAGCTCGCAAAGTCCTTATGGAGTTGAAAATTCTCCGAACAGAGCCATGGAAGCCTGTTGCTCGATGGCGAGCAAAGCCAGCTACGAATTCATTAAGAACATCTTCAGTGTCATACGCTACTTCTCGTACTTGCTTGATCCATTCTTGGAGTCTCGGATCAGCATCTTCTTCTTTTGTTTCTGCCACTCTTAGGAAAGCTCTCATGTGCCCCAACTCATCCTTGATGAGTTGAATCACTTGCCAAAGCCCTCCCAATAGACTTCCCTCTTCACATCGAAAAATTGTTTCTGCCATTTTGAGTCTCCCTCTTTAACTTGCAAATATCAGAAAAAAATGTTTCTGGTCTAGAGAGGGAAGAAAGAAGAGTTGGTTATAGTTTCATAAGCTGATGAATTTTGATGTGTGGTGCAGTATTGTTTATCAACAAATCAAAACCGCGTTCAGTGTCAGTGAATAGAAAAGGTGTGGGGCTGAACTTTCAAGTCTCTGCTTCTCAAAAGACTTTCCGGACAAGTTCACATGGAATCAATCACATGTGAACCTGTCCTTGCGAAAAGGGCAAAATGCACTTTCTCCCTGTGATGTAGCTATATTTCACGTAACTCCTCTATAATTTTAAAAATTATATATAATTTTCTGATAATTTAAATTAAAATGTTAAAATAATAAAAATAATTATTCGTAACGAAATCTATGAAAATATTAAAATTTTCCTTATTTAAAAGTTAAAATAGCTGAAATTACTAAAATATATAAACATAATATGCATAACATTTTAACCCCATATGATTTTATGTTTTACTATATAACCCCCTTATGACTTAGTGTTTTATCATATAATCCCTTATGATTTTCAAAATATATAAATAACTTTTTTGTAGTTAATAAATAATTTTCAATTTTACATAAAGGTATTTTTGATATTTTAGTTAACTCCGTTATGGAATGCAAATTCCGTCATTTTGACATTTTAATTCAAACCATGATGGAGTTATGTATAAAAAAAACTAATCATAGGGGGGTAAAATGTAATATGCCCTTGTGGAAAAAAAGAATATCAACAGTAAATTAGAGCAAAATGTATCATGATAAAGAGATTATTATGAGGGTCTTTGGAAAGTATTTTTTGGAAATTTTTTATCTTTTATTTTCCTTAAACATGTTTTGCAACTAGCTTTTTATTTTACATATATTATATTACAAGAACAACTATAGTGAATAATATAAAAGTTTTTCAAAATAATATTCAATCTAAATAGGCTTGCCCAAAAAAAGAAAGAAAAATATACTCTTGGATTGGCTTTCCCTTAATTTATTTGGAGTCATATGCTAAAAAGGCAGTAATTCATTTGATTGAGTTATTATTTTTAATATTTTTCAAAATCTAGCTCAAAGCAGTCACTTGAGTTTAATACTTGAAATTCACGGGTAAAAGTAGCTTCTAGTCATAGCTTGAAAGGAGAAAAGCAATTTTCATCCCTAATATTTGGCATCTGCGATTTTGGTTCTCAAAGTTTTGAAAAAAACAAATATGGTTCCCAATGATTGGTAACTAGTGCGATTTTTAGTTCTTAAAATTTCGACAAAGTCAAACCTGTTTTCCTGTGTTTTCAATTTGAAGTAAATCTAAGATAGTTGACGGATTTTTTCAATTTCTGATGGAATTAGTCATGTAAGATAGTTGATGGATTTTTTCAATTTCTGATGGAATTAGTCATGTACCATCACGTATTCATTAAATAATTTTTGTTAAAGAAGCAAAACAATGGCTAATTTTGAATAATAAAAATAACTCACATAATGTCACATGAGTAGCTAATTAACCAAGAAACAACAACAAAAAAAAAGAAAAATTTCAAACTATATAGAAAAATTGAGTATTAGAGTTTTTTGCTTGGGGCTATAGAGGTAAAGATTGAAAATGAGTTTGGATTAATGAATTGGGTTCTTCGACTAGTTTCAATTTTAGTCAATTATTTAACAAGTGAATTATCAGTCCTTAATTTTGTTGTAAAGTTAGCTACTATTTTGTTTCTTTATTTTAAATTCAATTTGACAGACAAATGATCAAATTCCATCAGTAAATAGAAAAACTCTTCTAATATAATGTCCTAAATTTCCTTTAAATGGGATACATTGGGGATCGTGTTTGTTCTTGTCAAAATTTTAAGCACTAAAATTGAACAAATACTAAACATTGGGATTAGATTTCTTTTTGCTGAAATTTTAAGAACTAAAACTGCACAGGCGCTAAATATTGGTAACTAAAACTGCATATTTCCCTAACTTGGAATCATATGTTTGTGACTACCAAAGCAATATTCTGTAGTTGTTTTGAATGTATTTGCACAAGATATTTATGCCAGTAAATCTCACTTGTTCTCAATAAAAAAGAAGGCATAAGTTTTCCTGCTAATCCACAACAATGGTTCCTCCAAACTAAAGATAGAGCACACAAAAAAAGGAAAAAAAATGACAGAGACAGAGACAGATATTTATAAAGTTTTCTGTCAGTGTGCCATTATGGTTTGTATAGAGGAATTGTCAAAGCCGAGTGATAAAGTTCGTGCTCGGAAGAAAGCAATTGGAAGCAAGATGAAGCCATAATTGTCATGAAGAAAAAAGCAGCTAAAGCAGTAGTAGCTGTGGCACCATCTTGCAAAAGTATATAAACGAAGAAGGGAAAATTGTATTATATGCCTTGTGTGTGTGTGTTTTAACTACTGTAATTTTGGGTTAATATTTGCCATGAGGGTATACGATGATAAATCAGACCAATTAAAAAAGTCAAAAGTTATTTAAAATATTTTTTCATTTTTGTTTTTCTTTTTTTCTTTTGAGAGTAAAAGGAAAGGAAAGGAAAGGACTTAAGTGTCAAATTTGAGACCTCATGATCACCTGGATAAAGTGCTTTTGTTATTTGCAAAAAAAAATTAAGAATGGAAGAATTAGATGTGTTTTAACTTTTTCTAAGAATTTTCTTTTTGTTTTCATTATTCTTCAGCTTCAGAAAGTTTTCCAACAAAGCAGGTCAGCAGTTACTTGTCTAAAATTTTATTTAGTCCACTACACCAGTTTCTATTATGAAAATTTATGTGGAAGGCTATATTAACATGAGATAACTACTCAAGTTACTCCAGTGGTCAAGGGAAGACTCTTAGAATTCTCCCTGTTACCAAGTTTAAGTTTGAATTTTGGGTCTAGTAGTTGGAAATGAGAAGGGAATGGGGACGAATGAGAGAAAAAATAGTAAAATTCTAAAAAAAAATTAAGATTAGGTTTAACTTGTATTTTTGCTATGAGATATAAGGTTATTATCAAATTGTTGATATTATGTGCATATATATGAAAAAGGATGACATAAGTCTTTGCTAATTTTATTATAACTCGTCGATTACATAATTGTCTAAATATAAATTTAAAATTTGGCATAACCAGAAGTGTTATTTCTGAAGTATAATTTGAGAAAAGTTTATTTATTTTATTTTATTTTTTGAAAATAGCACGAGTATTTTTTTAGAATATTTGTTAATGTTAAGAATATGATGTGTTTTTTTGGATTTCATTTAGAGACATGTATTATATAGATAAACTACGAGTATGATATGAGTTTTTACTGACTATGATCAAAAGAAGCTTGAGAAGAAGGCATCAAATTCTTTTCCTTCCTTTGTGCAAAGAGAGGTGGCAAAATTTCTGCGATGGATGGTGCAAAGGTATAAGGGTGATTTTGGTTAAGAAAATGATGCACCGTGAATAAATAATGTTTTAGTCCTTTAATGAAATAAAAGCTAGCGAGAGTATGTGATCTCATTTAGGGTTTTGCTTGAGATATTAATTCTACAAAATTTTACTGAAACCATGTGAAAATTGAACCCGAAACCAAAGCAAAAAATAGGGAAAAATGAACAAGAATATACTGAGAAGCTGCATCATCGTCAATTAGGTCTTCTTCTCTGATCAAGAAGCCAAAATAAAAAAATAAATAAAGACTGAAAAACGAAAGTAAATGGGGACGTAAGATCAAGTATAAGGGTCCCTAGTAGAACGTAGAGTTGACCAAAGCCAAGTGTCGAAGAGATGATGTTGTAGTATAAGCAGAAATGGATCAAGTGACTCAATCTCAACAAGCATCCATCCAAAACCTTGAAAGACAAGTAGGTCAATTACCGAAAGGAAGCAAGGAAGGTTGCCTAGTAATACTGAAGTGAACCCAAAAGAAGCTACTATGACAATAACACTCACTTCATTCGGGAAGGTGTTGGATGACTATGTTCATAAGTCTAAGGAGAAAATCAAGGAGCAAGAAGGAAGTGGGAGTGACGAGAAAAGCGAAGTTAAAAGTAAAATACCAGAGTCAGGCAAGGAAGTTCCTAAGGAAAATTACCTTATCAAGTTGCCCAAGGTTAAAACTTATGTGTCTCTTATTCCATTCCCTCAAAGATTGAAGAAAAAGAAGAATGAGGGGCATTATAAAAAATTTATGACAACATTGAAAAAGTTCCAAGTGCATACCCCATTTGTAAAAGTCCTTGTAGATATGTCTACTTATGCAAAATTTCTCAAGGAAATCGTGTCCACTATGCAAAAATTAGAGGAATTTGCAACCGTTCCCTTGATTGAGGAGTGCAGTGCAGTGCTACAACATTCTCTTTCAATCAAGATGAAAGATCCAAGAAGTTTCATTGTATCTTGTTCTTTTGAAGGTATTTTTGTGGATAGGTGTTATATGAGCTTGAATCTAGTGTGAATTTAGTGCCCTTATCCTTTTCTAGGAAGTTAAGGTTTGCCGAATTTAATACTACCACAGTAATTTTACGACTTGCCGATCATTCACTGCAACATCCAGTGGGGGTAACCGAAGATATGCTCATCTATTCAGCCTGTAGCTGGAACTGCTGCCCAAGTAGTTCCACTTGAGGCAGCTCCACTACAAGCTAGGGCAGGGCCTTCTACGAAGCCCGATATCGACTTCGGGGAAGTGGATCTCATCCCTCCCATCCTGGATCAGGGGGATGTGGACGAACTGGTGGGAAAATATAGCATTCCCCTCCAGTTTGAAGCCCGAGCAGCCCAGCCCGGGGTTCGTAGCTATCTATGAGGACCAGCTCATAACAGGTCTCCGTCTTCCCATTCCTCACTTTCTTTTCCAGATTCTGATCTTCTGGGGATCCGAGTAACCCAACTCGTGCCTAATGTAATTCGATCGATCCTAGGCTTCTTCATGTTGTGCAGAATCCTTGAGATCCTTGATTCCTTAGAGTTGTTTGGGTTGTTCGTCCAGATGAAGGTTAGCAGCCACGTTCACGGTTGGTTCTACTTCGCTCGTAAGAGCGGAGCAAAGCTTCCAACTCGTGAACTGTTTGCAGGTGCCCCTTCCTCTATTTAGGAGCGGAGTAGAGCTTCCAACTCGTGAATTGTTTGCGGGTGCCCCTTCCTCTATTAGGGGTT